TATATATAGGTATATACTATTTACCGTTTTAATTATGTGAGGACAAACCTGAAGTAAAACTACTAATCATATAGGTAGTAGGTTAAATAAAGATGTAAACAGATGATCACGGTTATCTTGGTAGGAATATTGAAGCAGAGCAGAGCATGCGGATGTATCAGAAGATATAGAGCAGGCAGAGTATTAGGTGACATACGGTAGCAGGAAGTAAGGGTGTCAGGAGACTGTCAGAAGACCGGCTGCAGATCGGCCAGGAGGTACATGTGTTGAGCACATTGCAAGGTACACAATCAGTGCTCCATAGGGTTACGTGATGTATATGGATCTGTTCTGATACACGCCTCTGCCATATATTTATAAGAATGCGTCCTTTAGAACGTGCGGGGATGCAGCACATGTAGCTGGGTGACAGACAGTTACTATGACAGGTGGATATCTGTGCTGCTAAGTACATCAAGCTTGGGCAACCTCTGCACTCCAGCTGTGGGGAAACTGCAAATCCCAGCATGCCTCTGCGAGTCATGGTGTGGCTGTCAGGGTCTTGCAATGCTTCATGGGGCTTATAGTGCCACAATAGCTGGAGTGACTACCCCTGCCATAGCTGCAGTAGTGCTGCAAAATCTCATCACTCCTCTGACATCCATGTCCATTTAGTGAACTAACAGGTCCCAAGTTAGGTTTCTGGGAGGTCGGATGTCAGCGGACATGTGTCCATTTGAAGTTGGAGGACTGGAGTTGCCCACCCCAACCTAAAAGGAGTCAGGTAATCAGATGTAAACAGACATAGGGATCAAGGTACGTCGAGCTTCCATTTAGGTCCACCTGAAAATCTGACAGGCTGACCTGATTGGAATGCCTAATAGTGAGTAGAATGAATTAGCTGTGCTCTAATGTGAGTTTATTCAACAAGCGCCGCATTTCATTATCAGTTGTGGGTGGAGGAATCTATTATTATGTAAATACATTTTGGATGTTTATACTGTGCTGAATTTATCATCTGTGCTCTTATGCGAGTTTATTCAACAAGCCCCGCTACTTTCTTTGCATGATCAGTCTTGAGTGAAGGTTTATATCACTTGCAGCTGACATCTTTGTATTTAGGTTTGAAGTATCACAAGCTATACTAGGTGGACTCTTATTTGGCGCACCCACATATTTGATTCTCTGTTAGAACCAAGTCACACTTCAGTACAATGGGATGCCCTTCATTTTGCTGATGTGCCGAGGTTGGTGTCATGGGATGCCCTTCATTTTGCTGATGTGCCGAGGTTGGTGTCATGGGATGCCCTTCATTTTGCTGATGTGCCGAGGTTGGTGTCATGGGATGCCCTTCATTTTGCTGATGTGCCGAGGTTGGTGTCGAATGTGTCCAGTGAATTGATTGAAAATAAATGCACAGTCCCGAAAACTATTTGGACCAGTCTCGGAGATGGCAGACCTTGTAAAAGTCAACTTGTACTGAAGTCCAACTCCAGCCAAACTGTGATATTTGGCTTTGGAAGAGTAGGGAAGGTTTAGAGCCTATGTCAGTGTTTTCTTGCCATCTTTGTCTATACTGGGGAGACCGGAAGTCATGGTAAATCTCTATAGTGGGGACACAGACATTTTTGGTGAGGCTACAGCACTGATGAAGGTGACAACACTGCAGTTATGTTATGACTGGGCAATCACCCTGTTTAAAGGTGCCCATACACCATATAAATAACGGGCGATTTTCGTATGTGATCGAGTTTTCCTCCGATATTCGTAAGGTTGATGGGCAGTGTACAACTGCAAATACTGTACAATGGATCGACTTTTGACTAACCAGCAGATTAGAAAACTTTGGTCGATCGTATGATTTTCGCAAGGTTGGTGGCGTTTCAAAATTTGTACAATTTACACTGCACATGCGCAGTCGAAAATACGTGCGGTCAATTACCGCAATTCATCCAGGTGCTTTCTTCTAATTACCGCTGATCCAACCTTGCGATCATCGGGGCAGGTTGGGGCCACCGTACGAAAATCGTACGATGGTTCGATCATCGGACGAAAAGGGTTGTCCAATGATCGCAAGGTGTATGGGCAGCCTAAGGCAGAGTTCTTACTCTTGAGCTGCATTACTGTGTGCGTTAGTACAATACGCAAAAACACGTTATGATGCCATGCCGTGTCATTCTTTCCTAATGGGACCCCAATGCACCTTGCTAACAGACATGTTTTGCAGTGGACTACAATGCACAGTAACGCACTCACTGCCCGGCTAGCTAAGGCCTGATTCCTGTCAGGAACACCAGGTTTTTTTTTTACCCTTGATAGAGGGATTAGCATTAGAAGATAGTCTAAGCTGGTGAATGGGTTTTTTAGGTGATTTTTTTTAAAAAAATTTGCCTGTAGTTCTACTTTAATGAACCCAATAATAGGGATATATATAATAAGGCATGTAATGGCCTTTCCTCAACACACCTACCTCAGAGAATAATATCCCACCTCAAACTAACCACTCAACATCACGTTCTCAAACAATTCATCCCCACACAGCTACTTCCTCATGTATCACTTGCCCCTCCCTTTTAGATTGTAAGCCCTCAGGGGCAGGGCCCTCCTTACCATCTTGTCTTGAATTGTATTGTGATTGTAATGTCTTCCTTATATTGTAAAGCGCTGCACAAAATGTTGGCGCTATATAAATCCTGTATACTCATTTTAAATGGCACCCCAATGCAGTAAGGCATTGTTCCTTGCAAGGGGGTGAGTTGCCAACCTGTTCAATGGGATGCTCCATGGCTCTGTAGTGGCCATAATGCAGTGCCAATCTAAAAGCCAGATGTTCACAGAGAGAATAGCCCTGCAAACATTTTATATATACACCCCTTAAGGTGTAACTATACTACCTAGGTAGGCAAGCATGCCATCCATTTGAGTGGGCTGGGGGCCACAAGTGCACAGTCCAACTCTACTTTTAAACAAAACAGTGATTGATGTTGGACAGGCCGCAGAAGTCTCTATTGGACAGAGAGATTGCTCTTGGTAGGCCTTCAGGTTCAGTTTAACCTTTCTGCACTGAGCCTGTTTGCCCGAGCGGGAAAAGGCAACAGGTACACTGTAATTACCTTTCACATGATTTGATATGTTTTGCCAAGTGAATTTTCAGCTCCGCTCACACCTAGGCGTCAGTGTTTTTACGCATATAGCGTGCGTTTTGTTGAAGCACACCATCTAGCGTGTTTAGCGCAGTTTTGCACGTTTTTACCCGTGTTAGAAATGAATGGAATTTCTTGTGGTGAGAGTTTTGTTGTGCTTAGCTTTGAGCATCAGAAATTTCATGTCATTCACTAATATATAAGTAAAATTTCACTTTAAGCCCTCATTCACACTTTAATCGGCCCGCACGTACAGCTCCGTGCAGGGCCGTATCAAGCAGCTCCCGGGAAGGTCAGGTGCTGCGTGTGATTAGTACGCAGCCCCTGTCCTTCTCTATGGGAGTATGCGGCTGTACGCCCACCTGCCCTCACCAGTGCAGGTCTGTAGGGGTGCGTGTTTTCCGGCTCGGACGCAGACAGGATCCATCCTGTCAGCGTACGATTACGCTCACCCGTACAGACGTACAGGGCGGGTGAGTGTAGGGGGACGCACGGCCGCTTAGTCGCATAGAGAAGGTAATATTTAAAAGTGAAATATTAGTGAATGACATGAAACTACATGAAGTCGCTGTTCACACCTGGGCGTTTTGATGCTCAAAGCTAAGCGCGACAAAACTCCTTCAGTTCCTTCCTTCCCTGATTCCCTCAAAATACCTAAACAATGTCTGCATCCAATCAGATTGTTCAGGTATTTTGACAGCCAGCGGGGCCGACTAGCAAGATACTAAAGCTTGGCCCATCAGGAGATTCCTCCATCCACACAGTTTAGCGTAGGTGGAGAAATCTGTTGCACTTTTTCCATCTGACCATAGAAAATCTGCAGATAATCTATAGGTGTATGGCCAGCTTTAAAGTCAGTGACCCCGATTTAATAAAATGACAGAGCATTTTCACTTTAAAAGTGAAATATTAGTGAATGACATTAAACTACATGAAGTCCCTGTTCACACCTGGGCGTTTTGATGCTCAAAGCTAAGCGCGACAAAACTCCTTCAGTTCCTTCCTTCCCTGATTGACAGCAGGCAGTGGGCAAGTGCAATAGCCAGCCTGCTATTGCAATTTGAAATATCCAATAGCAGGCTGGCTATTGCTCCTAGCCACTGTATGCTGTGAAAGGTGTCCTTTCCCTAGCTAAAGCTATTCAAGTGGAAAGGTTACAATAGGGGTCTAATTGAACCCCTACTGTCACCTTAGGGCCCGTTCACACCAGTTGTAGTGCGTTCCGGCCCGATTCTGGCCAGAATGCACTGCCTCGCATTGTGGCCGGCTCACTTTTTAGTGGGGCAGGAGGGGGGCGTGTTGGGCCATTGAAGTATATGGCACTGTAGCCACACCCTCCGGCCGCAATGCGATCGCCTGCACGGGATCCCAAGGCACATTGTGCCTCCGGTCCGGTGCTATCAAAATAGTGCTTGCAGCCCTTAAAGAGAACCTGCCATCTCCAATGTGCTATCACACACCATGTGATAGCAATGAAGTTACGTTTAAAAAAATAAATAAAGTTCAATAAAATAAAAGATGTCCCCCCCCCCCACTAACGCGGACATACTAACAGAAACACAAGTCGGGTGCACCTACATACGGAACGACGATTGCACTACACATGCACTAATTCTCAGGCCAATATTTATTGCTA